AACAATACATGTGTGTACATAAACGCTTTAACTAGTACTGTTATGTAAGAATTAAATTTCTAGAACGTCTCCAAACAGCTATAACCAATGTGAGGCACCAAGAACAGTATCTATTATTAGTTCCCTATAATCAGTGTGCTATAAAACTTCAAAAGCTATAACTGTGATTGTTATAATGCTTATCAATCTAAAAACTTCAGATATGCATGGGGAATTTGTATGTTATATAGGAGAAGGTGACCTCCATTACAATGAAATGGACACCCCTGTTCTTCTTCCCATTGTACTGTGCTGCTTAGTCAGACTCTTCCCAGAGGGATACCACAACAAGTTAGAAACTCTTCCAGTTGAACACCATAGTATCTAGGAACTGTTAAGTGGTAAGGGTTTCACATGTTCCACTTGACAACCAAGAAGGAAAGAATTAATGTTGGGGATACACCAAGTATGAGAGGCATACAATGCATAAAGATAAGAGCTTCAAATACCACAAAAAGGAAGGAGAAGGAAACGGGTCTTAGTGAGAGGTGGTGCAATGAGCAAGAGGTCCATATTTCAAATGTGGCCTGTTTAAAAGCATTTAGAACCATATTAAGTTTCAATTTAGGCAAAGAAAACAGAAAAGGGGACAATAAATGAGGAAAGACCAGAACAAGGTGAAAATAACAGGGAAGAAAAGATGGAACCATAGCAAAAGAAGTCAAAAGGCAGTCAATAAGACTGCTCAATAGCCTGGTATGTTAAAAACCAAAAATTCTCAGTCACACAATGAGGGAAAGAAGGACAAAAGATATGAAACAGGAAAATGGCCTGGTGCAAGAGAGTGGTGAACCAGTGGTAAAAAATGCCACTGACACTGATATACAGAAATGGGATAAAAGATGACTACACAGTTGGAGAAACCTGATTAGTGAGCAATGGACTGGATATACCCCAGATATGAAGACAAAAGGGAAGACACTTTAGGTTGAAAAAGCTAAGGTCACATACAGAAAGAGATGAGAACAGTCCTGTCTGAAGGTATCAACAACCGGAGCAGCTTGTTGAGGTACTGGAGACCAGAAGAGAAAACTTTTGGAATTGAAAGGAGTGACAAAGGTATCAATCACTGGCATGCTCAATTGGGAACAAATCCAACAAAAGACCTGAGAATGGAATGATCACTCTGTATGAAAAATTCTGTCCTGTCAAGGAAGACAAACCACAACCAAGTTCAAATACCCCAGAACATGACAGGCAATTAGACAAAAGAAATATTTCAATTGTGTAAGCAAAGGTCCCTAGAGTGAATCCCACCCTGACAACTGATATTGGAAACAACCACAAAATTATCACTGGATTATAACCAAGTATCTACAAATCAAAGGAGTAAATAGGAACATGCTCAATGAGCAGTGGAGTTCCAAAAAATTGATGTAGAAAGTATGCTCCACGAGACCAATCCCCTGAGGCTGTAGAGTCATCTGGAGACATGACTCAATTTGTAAGAGATGCACTGGTAAATGGATGGATATCAGAACCTGAGAGCAGCAGTGGACTTCAAAACATAGTGGAAGCATGATCCAGCCACCAAAATCAACTTTTCAGAAGAAAAAGGCAGCAGTATCACAATAAGACAGAGGAATGCAGGAAATATTACATTGGACAATCAAAGTCTATTGAAGAAGCCTTGTATAAGCTCAGCCTAAAGGGGACAAGATGTTTGAAAGGTGCAAGAGTCCCCCCCAAAAAATAGAACCTCTTGCATAGGAAGTATAGAAGAGGCAAATCTAGAGGTGAGTAGACATTCCCTATCTTGCAGGCTAATGAGGGAAGGCAGAGCTTGACTAAGTCGAGAATTGAATAAGACACCAAAGTGGACCAAGTACTGGGTCAGAGTGCGGAACAAGTTAGAAGGTTTGACAAGCCAACAAGATGAACAGCTTCTTGGAGAAGTGATGTGGCCAAGAAGAAGTACAGAGAAGCCAGTCATCCATAGAATAACGGAAATGAAGTCCAAGACTACTGATATGGAGAGCAAATGCTCCTATAACTATGAAGAAGATATAAGGAGCCAAGGCAATGCAAAAGAGGAGAGCTTTAATTGGCACACCTGATCCTAATGCATGAATAAGAAAAACATAAGGAAAATGAGGCAATCAGCATATGTAAAAAAGCATCCAAGATGTCAACCTTGGTCATCCATAGTCCAGAGGAAAATGACCTACAAAGAGGAAGAAACCCATCCACTTTGAACGTGAAGAACAGCAAGATAAAAAAAAAGTTATTTTATACTTAACATGAAAATTACCTTGCACTTGAACTATTCAGAAGTGCAAATAAATACAATAAACAATGAATTTTTAGTAGAAATAGTCGAAAAACTACATACCTTTAAGAAAGTTCCTGTCAACTTTCAAACAATTTCATCCACAAGTTTTATTTTAGGAATGAAATATTATGAGAGTTATGTTATATCCTCACAATTTAATGACCCAATAACCAAAAAGTTAAAAGAATTATTTTTATTTTTTTCTTTTGTACAAAGTAATTGAAAGATGATGTATGTTTAAATCAAATTCAAAATAAAATAAAATGAATGAAAGGTAACACTGGAATAAAGGTAGCTCAAATCTCACTACAGTGGACAAAGTTTAAACTTTGAGAAACACATCCATTCATGAAAGTGCCAAGGAAAAAAATAAAGTTAATTTCTAATGCAAGTGCTTATGGTGATCTATTGTGCAAGGAGGATGTATCAACCTCCTATTGGTGGAGGGCTGTTGTCACATCATGACTACATCAAGGACCAGCACATTCTTTTCAAAAGTTTGATATAATAGAAATTAGTGTCTGATTATAGTGTGTAATTATGGCCATCACACATATTTTATTAAATACAGAATTTCATAATTAAACAATGTTTATAAATTAATAAGCTTAGAAACATCTACATTTTTAACACACTAGTTATCCACAATCAAAAGTAATGAAACTCGTACTTCATCAACTAAACACCAAATAACTTTCAATCATTAGTGATTACCAATGTTTACCTCATAAGTTCATCTCTATAGTATATCTTACAACTATATGGCTTTTTAAATAAACAGTTTGCTTTAAAAAAATTTGCTTTAAGAATAACAACAATTTGAAAATCTACTACTGTAGATATAGGTATAAATTTATGGAACGTATTTTAAAACTGACATACATTTGCACCTTTCTTACAATCAGACTGTTAGAACTTTTACTTACTAAGTCATCCCATCCAGTAAAGGGTCGGCATGCTAAGATACTATCAACCTTCTTTTTGCTACAGCCAGGCACAGTCAAGATCTCTTCAACAGTAGCAGTTTGAAAGAAATTCAAAACATTAGCTCTAGATGGTGTTAAAGATTCATCATCATCTTCACAATAATCACTGGCTTCACTATTGTATACATCTTCATTTTTGTAGTCGTCATCTTCATCATCACTCAGCATTTCAATATTTGTTCTTTTCTTTTTTTTTGATGTTTTGCTTACCTTCCTCCTGTCACTGGTTGCTATATGGCAGTTGGCATAAGAGCCATCCTGCACACTGGTCATGCTTAATCTTCTTCCATCTTCAGGTAGACTCTTGGGCAAATGATCATGTAAATTTGTGTTTTCAAGCAGGTCTAAAGATCTTGATATTTGATGAATATCTGTACTGTTTACATCATTAAACACATTTAATGCATTACCTTCTTTATCACTAGTTACTGGCAACACAATGTTATCAGCTGCTGTGCCATCCAAGGTAACATGTGCTTGGGATGTTTTTGATTCATTCAATGATTCTGTTGAAACTTTAGAAAAAGGATGTGCTATATTATTAGTAGATGTTAATTTAACTGAGGTAGAGGGGTTCTTTGATGTATCTTGCTTGAAAGTTGTTAATTTAGTTGCAGTAGAAGATGCCTGTGGTTCATCAATTTTATTCACAGTTGTTAAGTCTTCTGTAGCAGAGGATGCCTGTGCTTTTAGAGCTGACAAAAAATCTTTCAAAGGGTTTTGTACACATCTTCCTCTAAGAGATTTGGGGCTGTTTTTACCATAACTTTTTGTAGAACTAGTGAGATGTATTTTTGTCAACCATTTACTTTCTTTTTTATCATAACCATCACTACAGAAATTCTGATCTGATGGCGTGACACCTTGTAACTGTTTAGTACTATAAGCCTGACATTTCAATTCAGTTTGATTGGTAAGCTCTTTCTCCAATGATTTGTATTTGTCTTCCTCTTCAGTTATTTTGTAGTGGGTCATTTCTACCTCCTCTGTTGGTACATATTTTTCTCCTGTCAGCTCACAAACAGCTTTCTTAACATTCCATTCACACGACACAAGTGTATCCTGCAACTCCTATTTCAGTAAAAAATAATAATAATAATAATTTGTAAAAGTGCAGAGAAGAGTATTTTGAACATAACTATTTAAATTATTAAAACCACTAACTATATAAAATTTCTTTAATTCATTGAATATCAGTCATACTACTGTATAGTTTAATTTGGAACACTTGGCAGAAAAACAACTGTTTTTTGGAACTGTCATCCAATAACTCAAAAATCAGCCTCAAATCAAGTATAAGCTGAAAGCCACCAGTTTTACAAATTAAATTTCCAAGTATCCACTTGCCATGAAGACAGCAACAGTAACAAGACAAATCATAAAAACCAACTGAACCTACAACTCCAAAGAAGGCAAATTTAAAAAATCTTAATGGCTTACAGTACACCTTACAACTCAATAAATACCATAACATTTCATTCCTAACTTTTTAAAAAAATTAAGGAATGATAAATTACATCACAGTAAGGTTGAATGGCTGCTAAAATTGTTCTACAAATCTACCTTAATGGCCTATACTACATGTTTTCAATAAGAAAGATAACAGAATATCAGCCATACACAGTATGGTGCACATCACTGCCAATGAGAACTTCCTCTCAATAACATTGTTTTATTCACAGCTAACTTGATAAACTCTCAAGTTATAGGGCCAATAAAGAATGACTTGTAAAACATTATTATCATTCTTATTATAATGTTATACAAACTAATGATCAACAGATACTGCTTTTCCAGCATATGTCATATATCATGATAACTGATCTATTGTAAATGGCTAATATGAATAGTGTTTTAACAACGAATTTATGTGTTGTAAAGCTAGCACAATTGAAGAACTCTAACATTAAGTAAAAGACTTTGCTAGTAGTGGCGTGTGAAGCACAAGGTTGAGATGTTATTAGGTTTTTCTTATTGAAAACCCATATTACATGGCCAGTAAAGAAAGACTTGTAAAATATTATTCAGTCTTACTTTGATGTAATGTCACACAAACTACTGATTAACATTATTGCCCCAGGTATCCTTTACTGCACATGACACAAAGTTTTAGTGTCTTACATTCAAAATTTTATCATACTACTTTTTGTTTATGTTATACCAATTAGAATAGCATAAAATCTTAGCTCCATATTTTAATAGTATACACGTTTTAAGTTTTTAATTCTACAAGGCAATATTAAAAAAAAGCCTGAATTTCCACTAGTGTAACCCATGTGAAACATTTTCTCTTAGCACGTTATCATCCCTATTTTATCCATCATCCCTTAAAAATTTATGAAATTAAATGTAAATTACTCTCTATAAAATTGTTATTGCTCAGACAAACCATAATTTCTATAGTCTTCAATTTTGTTTGGTTACGAAGCTATCGAACAGAAAATCAGACCCCTCCTACCACACCCACCTGTCACATCCTCTCTTTCACAATATGTTGATAGTTCTCTCTTACATTTCATTATATATTACCCATAACCAACAGAAAGTCAAAGTTTACATCAACATGACTCCTACCTTCTGTGGTCCCAATCAAAGCCATGAATAAAGCAATTGAGGATTTTCGTATAACTAATGAATACACTGCTCGTATTCTATGAGCATCTAAATTAGGTTATTAATGCCACTTTGTGTATGTCAGACGAGCATTAAATAAAAAGTTATAATTTTCCCATACTGAAAATGTATTTCCAATAGATACTTTCTTCCACTCACAAGATTAGCTATTCTTGTTTATTGCTGCCCTCTATGTGCAAACATGTTTATTATGCATGACACAAATCTTCCATACATCCCCATAGGAATCAAATGATTCCAACATGTGTCTCATGCAAATCATCATGCATCACCTATCCACCAATAGGAGCATAGTTCACTCACATGATGCATGTGACTCCCTCTATGCACCTCCACTGAACTATCACTTCAAAGTTTGGCAAATGACAGAAGCACCAAAGTGAGTGGGAAGGAAGTGTGAGTGGAAGGAAGTACCTATCATAAATAGATTTTCAGTATAGGAAAAGTATAACTTCTGATATGGTACTCCCCTCACATGATTAGCTAGAATTGCACACTGATTAGGAGGAGGGACCAGTGCGAAGGAAGAACAGATGTATATGTTCAGATGATACCCCTGAAGATGAGAGAGTCAGATCTGAAGATCTGGACAGGGGAACCACACCACTTCTGATCCAATCATACTCTTTCCCCAGTTGTGGAATGTGTAAAAATCATGGCAGAAAATGAGAGGAGCACATCCTAGTGGGAGAGAAAGTGATCCTACCTGGAGAAAGATATAGTAACTCAATCCCACAATAAGAAAGTGGGTAAATGAGGATGTGACTCATGGTGTAGAGTGCAGATTTAGAGTTAAAAAATACCTGGCCAGGCACCACTTGCAAAAGAGCAAGATCCAAGTAATGAAGGTATGAAGATTGGGCCCCTGAAAGAAAATACGTGATTAATAATGACTTACCCAGTGTCAGAGTTGCACCAAAGATTGGAGTATAGCTACAGGTGCAAGCCAAATACCCAAAGAAGCTGAAACTACGATATGATGTTAATAATGGGAGATGAGTATGTTAGGGTTGGTCCACATGCCCAATTGTAGGATTTCTTCCAGAGGTCGACGACGATGAGAAGCAAAGGAAATGGTGAGGTGTTGGATTTAATGAGAGGTAACAGAACAAAGTACTGGGAAGAGGACAAGGAGGAATAAGCCAACTGGATCAAAGGACGAACTCAATTGGTGAGTGTAAAAGGGGAGAGATCCCCGGATGAAGAGGGTTGCCAAGGGATAAGGAGATGGGAACCACAGAAGAAAGCTGTGCTAGCAATATAATAACAATGGATACGCACAGGACATAGAAGTCTATCGGATCGGGATGACGGTAGAGATGAGAAATAGAGGGTAAGAAAATAAGCAAAAAAAGGATGAGTTACCTTCGTAAGCCACTGAGTTTTGAGGAGGAAACAACAAACTGGATGAAGGAGAAGATAGGGGTGGTGGTAAAGTGTTGTATAACATTGATGACAAACAAGTCAGACCATCAATGCCCATAGGCCAGAAGGGGAATGAAATACGCCTTAACTCTTTCAGAATTAGGTCGGTCCTTGGAACGGACCTCATAACTATTTTATGCTTGTTATAGTTTTCATGCTATAACTTTTAAATTAGTGAGCGAATATTAACTAAATTTGGCAGATTATCAGTAAACATTAGAATGCTTTCATATGCAAAATATCAAATTTTTTTTCAGACTTAAGGTTTTTAAAGCAATGTTTTTCTTATGCCATTTTTTATTTTCGAATGTTACCTATCTATCATGTAAAGTAATTTTCATTTTAGAATTAAAATTACTTTTATGCATCAGAAAATTTTCAACTTTCACATGCAAAATCTTTCTAATGTCCAGATAGTTATCAAGCAT